TCAAGAAAATTGTTATTACTAATATACAAGTGCCTAGCTGAATTACTTTTTCATTATGGTAGGTATCTTTATTTGGGGAGGAATGTACAGGAACTCATTGAAGAAATTAAATATCACACAAAACTATATACCAAAAATTATATTTAAGAAACAAAGGATATATCACAAAAATCTCCTATACACTATAGTCTATTTTTATGTATAAGAGAGTAATAATACAGCATTTCTAATGCAAAACTTAGTACGGTCATTTTAAATATTTTTACAGAATAATCTAAATATTTCCTAAAATTGTAACAAATGTACCTGAGCTATTACAAGTTTTGGTTCTTTTATTGGTCCTTTATAAACATAAGCTGTACAGAACAATAGAAAAAGGTTTGGACAGGCCAAAAGCCCTGTGTATTAAAGATTACATAGCCGTATCTTAAGATTATTTTCAATAAGTACCTATTTGCCAATTTTGATTTACTTTAATTTTAAGAATTTCTTACAGTAATCGAATTATAAGTAGATAAATAGCTTCCCAACAAATTTCCCCGAAAATGCGATTATAGGTTTTCCATTTAGTAAGGAAGTCCAAGTTGTGTATTCTTGACAGTTTACTAAATGTCGTTTAGTTGCAACTTGCAAGGTGCAGTGTGAATTCTAGTGTGATCATGGAAAATTTGGAAGGGCCGCGTAAACGGCAAAAAATCGGTCCTTTAACAGTTAATGAAAAAACATTAATATTTAATTGTTTTAAATCATTTACAGACAAACATTTATGTAAAAGTGTTGATGACACAGTGGAATTAGTTAGTAGTACGCTTGGTGTTGGAAAATCTACGATTTACAGAGTTGTTAAAGAAGAGAAATGTGGCGAGTTTCAAACAGCACGTGAAGCTCCAGGAAAACCAAAATTTCAATTAGAAAATCTTTTGAAAGAAAGACTTCGAAGGAAAGTGCATGCGTTCTTCTTTAGAAAAGAATTTTCGACAGTAGACAAAGTTCTTGCCACGGTTCGAGATGATAAGGATTACCCTGAAATGAGTCGAAGCACACTATGGAAACTTTTAAAAGAAATAGGTTTTCTATGGAAAAAGCATTCCAGAAAATCTATTTTAATAGAAAGAAGCGATATTGTAGTATGGAGAAGAAACTACCTAAGGACTATAAAAGAAATGAGAAACCAAAGAAGAAAAATATTTTATTTAGATGAAATATGGATCAACGAGGGACATAAACCAAATAAATTTTGGCAAGATAAAACTGTTACAAGTCGAAGACAGGATTTTTTTAAATAATTTATCTACTGGTTTAAATCCACCATTAGGAAAGGGGCGCAGACTAATAATAGTACACATTGGTAGTTCAAACGGTTTTGTTAAAGGTGGTTTATTGACTTTTGAATCTACTCGTACCGGTGACTACTATGAGGACATGAATGCTGATGTCTTTAAAGAGTGGTTTGAACAAATTATAGATCTTCTTTCTCCTCAGAACTGTATAATAGTAATGGATAATGCAAGTTATCACTCGAGACTTATAGAAAAAAATGCCCACAACCAAGTGGTTAAAAAAAGATTTACAGAATTGGCTAAATTCAAAGAATATTAAGTTCCATCCCGGTTCTGTGAGAACTGTATCATTTGTGTTCCCTTCATAAAGAGAAATTCAAAAAAATATGAAATTGATGAAATTGCAAAAAATCGTGGGATGACGGTGGTTAGATCACCACCATATCATTGCGAAGTAAACCCAGTTGAACTGATATGAGCACAGATAAAGGGAGAAGTTTCAAGAAAAAATAATTCCTTTAAAATGAGTGATGTTAAGCAGTTGTTTTTGGAGGCTGTAAATAATGTGAATCCTGAAAACTGGGAAAAGGCAGTAAATCATACGATTAAAGAAGAAGAGAAAATGTGGAAATTGGACAATATTACTGATGAAATGATCGAGCCACTTATTGTAAATATTGGTTCATCTTCTGATTTCGATTCTGATTTGGATTTGTAGGTAAGAAGTAGTTTTTATATTAAAATTATTATTCATGAACGTAACGTTGTCAAAGTTTAAACCCTTATACCTATATAACCTGTTTGATACAATGTTCTTAACATGCCTTGTGGAAAAATAAAACATTTTAGAAAAACATGCACTTTTTTACCTTCAGCAGTTTTGAAGTTATAAGCAGGTTAATAAGGTGAAAATATAAGTGTATAATCGAGGAATAACTTCAAAAAATATTTTAACTGTTTACTAAAAGAAGTGATACGCCTATGGATTACGAACGCTTTATTATTTTAATACTCTCTCATACATAAAAATAGACTATAAAGATGTATGTAATATCCGAACATTATACTTTAATAGTTTATGTATGAATGCCATCAAGAATAAATTATTAGTAAATACCCGTAGTATACCTTTATAGTCCAAGCGGCGACCGCCGTAAAAAGGTGGTCATCCAAGTACACAAATATATTTTATTACTTTTTGGGTATTAGATGAATAACAAACCATCGGTCTGGTAGTCTATGACTTGTCCAATTTTTTTTTTAAATAAAATTTGTATTTTATTTTTTTTGCAAATTTGATCTACATAACTTAAACATAATTTTTTAGTTTTCGATGACGTTTTGACCAGATGAATATAGAAATTCAAGTCTGGCGTTCTTATTCTTGACGCAACTGTTTGTCAGACCACCCCCAACAAATTTATTACAACAACAAATTTTCTATACAAGGTATAAGAAAAAATCAAACGTCAAAATTTTTATTTTTTATTCCTCTTTCGAATAAAATGGGTCTGGCACGTTCATACTTGACCAAAATTCTGCCAGACCAAGATTAAGCAAGTCTTTCTCTACTGCTTGTAAAGTGCGAGTTGTTTTTGTTTTTGACATAATTGACATCATTCAAATCTTAACCTGTTTAATTCGCCAAAATGTGATGTGTTTGTTTTTAAATGACATTTACTTAGCTAAATAATTAAATAATTTTTTATTGAATTAGAAAAATGAAATGCTTTATCTGTAATATCACTAATAGCAAGAATAAACTAATATCGTTTAATGCTGATACAGTTCAAAGATGTTGTTTATTTATTGAAATAAGAAAAAAAAATCATTTCAAGTACGGGATTTAATATTAATACCTGAACTTCAAAAATCTGCAGATTATCATTTGAAATGTTACCTTAATCTGGTTGCTCTAAAAAAATCTGTGGTTGACGAATGTAATAAATCTTCACAAAGAGTTAATTCAAATAATGAAAAAAATACTAACGTAAGTATATACAGGGTGTCCTGAAATTAGACGGTCATATTTTAACAGTGTAATCTACATCCTAAAATAGGAATAAAAGTTCATATAAACATAGGTCCGAAAACGTTTCGTTTTCGAGATACAGGGTGTTACAAGGGAAGTGCTGATGGCACATTTTTGTAAATATTTTCTAAAGTTTCTTTAGTCATCGGTTTTCCAACGTAAAAAAAAAATAAAATTTCTGATTTCACAGGCCTACAATTATTGTTTACATTTTCGAATAACTTATCATCAAATTTTTAAATGCTTTTTCTTGAAAATGGTGCGTCCTAGCGAGATGCAACAGAAGTAGCTTTATTATAAAGAAAACATTGGTTTTCTAAATTTTATAGTCAAAAATGTTAAAAACTGTCAACAAAAAAAACTTAGGGCAATTTTACCTTAAGCCGCCCTAATTTACCCACCTATGAAGATGATCAAAAACTGGGATTTAGTCCATTAAATAGAGCGTAAAAAGGTAAGCAGTTGTACCAAATTTCATCTAATTATTTTTAAACGTTTAGAAAATATTTACAAAAGAGTGTCATCAGGGTTTCACTTTTAACACCCTGTATCTCGAAAAAGAAACGTTTTTGTACCTATGTTTATAAAAACTTTTACTTCTATTTTAGGATGTACATTATGCTGTTAAAATATGACCGTCTAATTTCGGGACACCCTGTATATTGCCTAAATAATTTTACGGTCTAAGTGCATTTAATAATATTAGGCTGGACCAAATATTTCTGACTTTGTTACCGATTCTGCTGGTTCAACTCAAATACTGCCACTATCACTATCAAATGAATATGTGGATAGTAGGATAGGTCTATTGGTAAATTTAATTTGTAATTATCTTTTTTTATGAATTATCTTCTTTAGAATATTTGCTAACTTCAGAAAACTTTTTTAACCTTCACAAAATAATTTTTAACAAAATTGAAATAGAATTTCATAAACAATTCTAAAATCGATCTGTTTGTTTTTAGTACAGTGATGAGAAAATATTTTTGTATGATTCTGTTGTAAAATATGCTTCAAAAATCAAGAAAACTTCAAAAATTGATTGAATAAAAAAAAACTTGCGTTTTACAAGCAGTAGAGAAGGCCTTGCTTAATCTTGGTCTGGCAGAATTTTGGTCAAGTACGAACGTGCCAGACCAATTTTATTCGGAAAAAGAAATAAAAAGTAAATATTTTGATGTTTAATTTTTTCTTATACCTTGTATAGAAAATTTGTTGTAATAAATTTGTTGGGGGTGGTCTGACGAACAGTTGCGTCAAGAATAAGAATACCAGACGTGAATTTCTATATTCATCTATTCAAAACGGCATCGTAAACTAAACAATTATGTTTAAGTTATGTAGATCAATTTTACAAAAAAAAAAAATAAAATACAAATTTTATTTAAAAAAAAATTGGACAAGTCATAGACTACCAGACAGATGGTTTGTTATTCATCTAATATCCAAAAAGTAATGAATATTTTTGTACTTATACTGGTTGACCACCTTTTTACGGCGGTCGCCGCTTGGACTATGAAATGTATCAGCACTAAACGATAATACTTTATCCTTGCTATTAGTGATATTACAGATAAAGCATTTCATTTTTCTAATTCAATAAAAAATTACTTAATTATTTAGCTAAGTAAATGTCATTTAAAAACAAGCACATCACATTTTGGCGAACTAAACAGGTTAAGATTTGAATGATGTCAATTATGTCAAAAACAAGAACAACTCGCACTTTACAAGCAGTAGAGAAAGACTTGCTTAATCTTGGTCTGGCAGGATTTTGGTCAAGTATGAACGTGTCAGACCAATTTTATTCGAAAGAGGAATAAAAAATAAAAATTTTGTCGTTTGATTTTTTCTTGTACCTTGTATAGAAAATTTGTTGTTGTAATAAATTTGTTGGGGGTGGTCTGACAAACAGTTGCGTCAAGAATAAGAACGACAGACTTGAATTTCTATATTCGTCTGGTCAAAACGCCTTTGAAAACTAAAAAATTATGTTTAAGTTATGTAGATCAAATTTGCAAAAAAAATAAAATACAAATTTTATTTAAAAAAAAAATTGGACAAGTCATAGACTACCAGGCCGATGGTTTGTTTTTCATTTAATACTCAAAAAGTAATAAAACATATTTTTGTACTTGTACTGGATGACCACCTTTTTATGGCGCTCGCCGCTTGGACTATTAGTTTATCAAACGCGTAGTACTGCTAATAAGTTACTGCCAACCCAAAGATTTCAGAAAAATATGTCATAAATTTTTGTTCATACTTTGCCCAAAACATGCTATTTCCTACCACTAGAGATTGGGCTTATCACTAAACTTAAACGTTTTTCAAGTGTAACAAAAAAAATTAATTTTCAAAATTATATTAAATAAAAAATAAAAATTATGAAGTAAACAAATGATATTTTATGCTCGTACAGGTTTTTTTTTTAATATTAACTATTACTAAGCAAGTTTGTTAAATCCTTAGAGTTGCACAACACAAGTGTTCAATCACTTAGGTGCACACTCTTTCTTTATTATTTTATTAAGTACCTTATGCATTAGGCATTTAGGCTATGTGCCTAATTTCTATACGTGTTTTTAGTTGTAATTACTTGTTTTGAATTTCTAAAATGTGTATAAGTGTAGAGAATATTATTTGTAATTTCTAAATTCTATGATAAATAAATAAATAAATAAATAAATAAATAAAATGAGTGATTCAGAAAGTTTGCCATCTGATATTGAAGAACAAGCTTTAAATATTACTTGTTACTTTAGATTGTGACAGTAATTTGTTATTAAATTTAAATAGATTTTGACATTTTGACTTTTTATTTGACTGATTGAAAAACAGTGAGATAAGAAACACGCGTGCGTTAATAAACTTCTTATCTCATGCAAAATAAGTGGAATGAGAAGTTCTTATCTCACGGGCGTAGATAAAATAAATAACTTATGCAACAAGTTGGCAAAATTCACGTTTCTTCTACGTAGAATATCAAATATAATGAATACAGAAGCAGCAATAACTACTTATTATGGCTTATTCTTTTCAAATTTAACACATGGGATTCTAACTTCACTGCACTTTTTATCTTGCAAAAATCAGCAGTTCGCTCTATTCTACGGGTTAATTATAATGAACCATGCCAACCACTATTCAAACAACTTAGCATAAAGACCCTGTTTTTACAAATAGTATTTGAAAACTTGCTAGCCAAAAAATAATAATTTGGGAAACATCACGTGTCACTCAGACAATCATGCATACCATACCAGAGGAAAAAACCAGCTAATCCAAACAAGAAATAAAATAAACAAGTCCTAAACAATAGGCATTTCATTATGTAATGCACTTCTGCCCCACATTCGTAATCTACCAGTGACGAGAAATAATTGCTGAGAAATAACAAAAATGTTGTGCAATATATATTTCGACGTTATTACTGACAACTTACAAAATTCTTAAAATTCACATTGACAGTATTTTTTAACAGGCGGGTAATTTGTGCCCTTTTTACAAAATAAGGAAAATAAACTCAACAACCAGGATACAAGTTTAAACAGCGAATTAAAAATATATTACTGGGTATGTGTCTATATAACATTAACGATTATTTTGTACAAGTGAAATATTTTTAATACTGTATTTTTTATATTTTTTAATTTTTTTTATTACTTTTACCAACCATGATCTTTTAAAATCATATTTTAAATTTTATATGCTTTATGTTAATGTTTATAAAACGTGTACTTTACCATTATTTATGTGTACTAATAAATTTGTAAACATTTTTATATAAGTAAGGTAAGTGCAACAAAAATTGACAGTGTTCCAGTAATTGACACTGGTTTAATTATTCTTCAAAAATAAGAACATTAGACTATATATGAGAAATTTGTCTTTAACATCGGTATTATTAGAATTTTTGGCAACCGTGTGGCCTATGTAACGGATGTTAGGTGACACCACGGTCAGTTACAAAATGATGAAAAGAGCACGTGCAGCATCAGTCAGTATACCAAAGTAAATATATCATCACTTCATGTTAAATTTATTAAAACTATTCCTGGGAGTGTATTAAACAACACTATCGACAAATTTCATAATTATCAGAATTATCAAAAATACTTGATAGATGTGTATAAAATATTATAACTGATTTTAATGATAAGTATAAAATACAATTAGCAAACATGGGTTTAGAAAAAACAAATCTATCGAAATTGCAACTAATGAATTATTAACTCATGTATATAATGAATTGGACAAAGGTAAATATGTAATTTCAATTATGTTCGATCTGTCAAAGGCATTTGATAACCTAAAGAAAGAATTCATTTTAAAGAAGCTACATTTTGAATTCGTAGGAAACTGCTAGACTGGATAGAGTCCTACTTAGGAAACCGTAAATTGTTAGTTAAAATAAACTCTGAAATTTCAAAAATGTACCCTCCTGTTTACCTCGGGGTTCCTCAGGGTTCTGTTTTGGGACCGTTAATATTCTTGCTTTTTGTAAATAACTTGCCCACACATATACATAGAGGTAAGACCATATTGTTTGCAGATGATACTACAATAACGGTCACAGCCAGGACTTCGGAGGAGCTTCAAGAGAATGCCTTGTCTGTATTTAGTCAAATGAAACAATGGTGCCACAAAAACTCTTTTATTCTTAATGAAGACAAAATGGTATGTTTAAACTTCCATATAAAGAAGTCAGTAAGTAAAGTACTTCCGTTTAAATTTGGGTACATGGTTGGACTCAAACATGAGCTTTAAACATCACATAGACTATTTATGTAAACAACTGAATAAAACTTTTTATGCAATATTTCAGATGATAGACTATTTGGATGAAAAAAGCTTGCTTGATCTTTATTATACATTCACTTATTCTCATTTATCTTATAATGTTTTATCATAGAGAAAAGCCACAGAGAGTAATAGGGTGTTTGTGTCCCAAAAAAGAATACTTCATTTAATATTTAATCTAAAAAATATCAAAAGTTGCAAAAACATTTTTAAAACGAAATTAATTTTATCATTTCCGTGTATACTTATATGTTTTCAAATGTACTACTTACAAGAAAGTACCTCTCTGAATTTATTAAACAATCTCAAACTCATTCTCATCACACAAAGAATGACAACTTAAGACTTCCTAACTACCAGACAACGACTTTCAGAAGGTTTCCTTTGTATGACTGTATTACTATCTATAATGCTTTGCTGAAGAACTAAAATCGCAAGCAACATACGAATCTTTTAAAAAAAAGTTAAAATATACCTATAAAAAAGCTCTTTTTACTCTATTACAGAATTTATCAATAAAACTGTGTGATACAGGTCTGCAAAAATAAATTATTATTATTGTTAAATTTTACATTTATATATTTATTGTACGACTTGCCTTATGTAGTTTTGTATGTAATGAAGGTTAATAAATTATTCTATTCTATCCTACTGGCTTTTATACATGTAAATCCTAAAACCTCATTTTTATTAAAGTATCAATAACTGGAACAAGAAAAACCGGTATGTTTCAATTATTGACATATCCTGTCAATCACTGGTCCACAAGCAAATACTGATATAGTTCCTGTCAGTGATAGGGGTGTCAATTATTGGTACAAGAAGTGTCAATAACTGGAACACGTTTATTACAGTTATGGCACCTAAAAATTATACAAAAGCTCAGTTAGATGAATCTCTTGCTGCTATATCAAGAGGGATGCCAGTAGCTACAGCTGCTAAAACTTACTTTGTTCCACGAACAATGTTACTTTACAAATCAACAGGAAAACTACCTATACATTGCCAAATGGGACCAAGTACCATCTTCACATGCTATGAAGAAGTTTTTGTCAAACAGTGATTACTTTCTCTAGCAAAAGTGCACCATCCAGTTGGTAAAGAGCAAGCGAGATAGTTGCACAAAATTTAAGTCCAGCCCGCAAAAAAGTTACTAAACAACAAATGCGACAATGGTTTCGGGAAGTAAAAGAATACTTGCAGTCACAAAATTTATTTGTCGCAACGAAGGATCCTTCCAGAGTATTCAACTCTGCTGAGAGTACTTTTTTTCTTCAACCAAAAGGTGCTAAAGTCCTTGCACGAAAAGGGGATAAAAGCGTGTACAATGCTGGAACAAATGACGAGAAAGAAAATTTAACTGTATTCGTTACCGTTAATGCAGCTGGGACAATAGCTCCTTGCATGGTGGTGTTTAAATATAAACGCATTCCAAGTCACGCAGCTGTCAGTATCAATAAAAGTTGGGAAATAGACCGTTCCAAAAGTGGATGGATACTTAACAAATGTGTTGTGTTTGTACCATGGTTAGATGAAAAAAAAAAAATGAAAGACCTATTAGGTTTATTGACGGTCATGTATTGTATTGTATCCCAATTCCATACATTTAATACAACTTATGGATGTGGCTGTATTTAAGCCGCTAAAACAATTTTGGAAAAAATCTGTAAGAGATTGGCACATCAAAAACCACGGAAAAAAAGTGTGGAAAGAAAATTTCGGAAAGGCGTTTGAGGAAGCGTTATCCTAAGTTACAAAAAAAAACAATTCAACATGGATTTAGGGCATATGGACTTTGCCGTTTAATGTAGAAAATGTAAAATTTTCAAAAATATCAAAACGTCGACAGAAGTTTATCAAACCAGAATAATAGAAGGGTTGACAGTTTTGGAAAAATGTATTCCTTCAGGAAAATTAAAAAACTTCTTAACAAATTTTGATACTGCATGGACAGGTAATATGGAAGACGTATCACTATTTAATGCATGG